GACTGATCACTGGGGGAGGGGAGACTGAGGGAATTCTTCCTCCTGCATGCAGCAGACTTATCACTGAGGGAGACTAAGGAAATTCCTCCTCCTGTTGACATCTCAGCCTAGACAAAGTCCTAATTAACACCCCTGTAAGTTCAGAAAACATGACCTGTTAGTGGTAGTGGAGGAAACATTTTGGAAGCAGTGCCGTGCTCTCTACCCTCCATAGACAATGCTCCATGTTCTGGGCAGGTTCTGGCTCTGATCGGCAGGCTCTGATCCGGGAAGATCAGCCTTATACAAGTGAAATATATTCTTTGTGTCTCCAGGGAGGGGGTCCACTCATCAGACTGAAAGGGGTCAGAGATGAGAAGAGGGGTGGGGGAGGGTCTGACTCACCAAAGAGGATTATTCACTCACTGATTAGAGTGACATAAAAGGGATCACAATCCCAGCGACAGAGGACGACATCCCATTCATCACTTTCATTCATTCATTTATCTTCTTATCCGATTGCTGAAGCCGCTTATCTACCAGGACTTTGACACTTTGTATGATCCCGGAAACAGGGCGTTCATGTTCTCGGGAAACGGTGCAGACTTTGGGATATATATATAAACTCTTGCATACAGAGGGGCGGGCGAAGTGTGGCTGCCAATCAGCAGTAAGATGAAGACTGATTGGCTGCTCTGGGTCACAGACAGCAAAGCTTCCCTTTACACCGACTTATAGGTGACCCTGAAACGGACCCAGTTCATGTATGGTGCTGACGTGTGTTACTAGAGAATTCTTCATACGTGTCAAATCCGCTGATATTCTCATATTTAAACTTTAATTTTATCATCCCGACGTTCTAAGAATCAATCAACTTGTTTTGTGCCAACATTTGCTGAAACCAAGACCTTGGACAATCCCATAGTCTGTCTGTCTCTCCGTGCCCCCATCTCTATCTATCTATCTATCTATCTATCTATCTATCTATCTATCTATCTATCTATATCTATGTGTCTATCTCTGTGTCTATCTATGTCTCTATCTCTGTCTCTGTGTCTATCTGTCTCTGTGCCTATCTATGTGTCTATCTGTCTATGTGTCTATCTGTCTATGTGTCTATCTGTCTATGTGTCTATCTGTCTATGTGTCTATCTGTCTATGTGTCTATCCATCTAAGTGTGTATATATATATGTGTCTGTCTATCTATGTATGTATCTATCTATCTATCTATCTATCTATCTATCTATCTATCTATCTATCTATCTATCTATCTATCTATCTATCTCTCATATATCTGTCATGTGTGTGTGGATATGAGTGTGGTGTAGTAGATGGTGTATAGTTTAGTCTGTGGAAAGGAGTAAGACGTTGAGATTTGTGTTTCCACAATGTGAAACATCTGATAGTTTGTAGCTATAAAAAAGCCAATAGCGCTGATGATTTTTTGGCATTTGTACAGACTTCTATGATCACCTCCAACATGGCGGCTCTCTGTGTCATTGGGTGTGTTGGGTGTTTATCTGTTGAAGAAGAAGGCTTGTAGGTTATTTTTCCATTGTTCCTTGGCTTGTACAGGAGCGTAGGCTGGGCCAGAACTGGAAACCTGGGTCTCGTACTTCGGAAATGGCAGAAACATTTTGTTACTAGTTAACAATATTTACCAAAAAAAAAAAGAAGGTAGCGGATGATAAAGGACGTCATTTATGGAAACGTGCCCAGAAGTGGATTACGGGAAATAGAATATTGTTGACCCAAGAGTCCGCAGTCCTGAGACTCTGAGATATAAATAGATTCTGGACATCTTGATCTCAGCAAGGCCAGAATAAAAATAAATAGTAAACACAATCACCAAACTCAGAGCGAATACAATGCAGCAGAGACGTCTTTGTCCACTCTCTCTGGACGTCTCCTCGGCCGCCCAAACAAAAATGTGCCAATATATTAAGCTTTGTGAATGTTAACAAGGTGAAGCTTCAGCCTAAAACATTTTGGATGGGGGTGGGGGTGGGTCACAAGGGGGTTTTATTTGGTCTTTGTGTCACCGCAGAGAAGATCCATCCTCATGTTCTGTCATTATGTATTTCAACAGTTTTTGTTAATTTCCTTTTCAGAGTTTTTCTCAATTCGAGTTCCACAGTCTGGGGGCTCTAGAAAGGTTAAATAAGATGCCATGTGCTGTTATTTTACCAACCTTTATAAACCCTTCCTTAAGTTTTCAGAGCCTTCAAAGGTCAACTACGGCTGCAAGCTTTGGATAAGGTGAAGAAGGAATAGGGTTTCCCTGTTTTTATTGCTGTCTGTTTGGGGGGATTTCTTCTCATTTCCTGTTTTAGAGAAACAGGAAGTGAGAAGTGATTCCCTAGTTCCATCTTTGACAGTTGTCACCAGGACAGGTGTGGCGTCTATACAGCGCAGAGTCTGGTTTTATTCCTAAGGAGAGGAACAAATCAGATGCAAGCTGATGTCTCCAAAATGCCACAGATTAGGGGGTTTAAAGAAGGAGTATGAGGAAGAATAACAGGCGTAGCTTGGTGGCTTTAAGGCTAGGTTCCCATCTAGGCGATTGAGCTGGTGAGCTGTTTTAGTGCGGTTGTCGCACGGTTTTCAATGCATAGAGATGTCTATGGGACCCAAACCGCGCGACAACCGCCCGAAAAGAGCTCCCGCACCTTTTCGCGTGACGATTTCGCAAAGGTGTGAGCAGCCTCCATTGACTTCAATGCGAATCTGTGTTTTGCGCCTAGGTGTGCACCAGCCCTAAAGTAGATGTATGATGAAGAATAACAGGTGTAGCTTGGTGGTTTAAAAGTAGCACTAAACTCTCAAACAACGAATCCGGATCAAACAAATATACATCGCCCAGCAAAGCATTCGTTTAAAATTATACACAAACACTTACAGTCATCATGTTGGCTACAACTCTCCCAGCTTGGCTTCCCTGAACTTCCTGTCCAGTACAAGATCACAAAGGACAGCACGGTCACCATGAGCCGTCCATCTAGTAGCTTGGAGGAAGGAGGATGGGAGTGACTTGCCATGCTGTGTCAATGTGTTAGTGGAGACACACACATCTTACTAAGACACGCACGGGTGGCGCCATAGGACCCTGCTAGGGAAAAGGAGCCACCATAAAACAGGATATCAGGACCAGTGCTCAGGGGACCAGCTGATTCTGCAGGAAACTAAAATGTTTAAACATCAAGGGGCAGCATCCATTGTAAGTAATTTCATCAGCATTTGACCCTTTTGACTTTTTTCTCACTTTAACTATCATTGGTGGGTCATTGCAACAGTTTTATTGTTTTATTGATTATTATTTTTATTGATTCGTTTTTCCTGAGTAGATAATTTGAAGTTCTCTTGAATGTGAGGTGGCTTGGTCGGTGGATGGGTCAATCCGGAAAAATGGCCGTGTTTGGGTAGATGTTTAAGTTGTTTGAATAGTTGGTGAGTCACCTGGTCAATCAGTAATTTCATTGATGAGTTGTATAGTTTTTAGGTAGCATGACCCTTCTGTATGTGGATTGGTTAGTTAGTTGAGGAGGTGACTGCTTGGTTGGTAAGTTAGTAAGTAGGTTGGTTGTCTGGCTAGCTGGCATGTGGTTGGTTCAGTGGTTAGTTTTTGATTTTCCTGTGTATGAGGTTACTGGTTGGTGAGTTAGGTGGTAGAATAACTAATTGATAGATGTTGGCTTGTTAGTGTCTCAGTTTTATATCTGAGTAGCTGCAATAAGTGATATGGTTAGCTAGTTAGTTATTGGATATTCCATTAAACGGATAATGTGGGTTGGTTGATTGGTTGGTTGCTGGGATGATTGGTTGGTGTGGCTCATTGCTGGTCATAGTTTTTCCTCTTCACTTTTCTTTTCAGTTCCCATGACATGCTGAGATCTCCCATAAAATGAAATGTGACAAAGCTTATAACCACTCCTGTGACCCTGCCTTCCAGATCTAGATGAACCCATCCTTACCGTTCACCAGACCATCAGCGATGTACGAGGGAGCTTCTACCAGGAGAAGACCGTCTTCTTGCGCTGTACTGTCAGCTCCAACCCACCTGCCCGCTTCATCTGGAAACGAGCCACCGAGACCCTGTCCCAGAGTCAAGACAATGGGGTGGACATCTACGAACCTCTCTACACACAGGTATGATATGATGTCCATGAATGAATCGGCTGCTATCAGCAAGGAGCTAATTGTGGAAAACTATCCAGATCAGGACATTTGTCATTGAAAGCCACCAACCCTGCTTGCCGCCATGCACTGAATCATTGATGGGTCAAGTTAGAAAACAATTGTATGTAGACTTTTGTAAGATAAGAGACTGTGTCTGTCGTTCTGCTTATGTTCCCCACCTCTTCTTCCCATCAAACAGTTGGCTAGCTCAAATTATCATATTTATTAACCCTCTGGTGATAGTAGGGCTCATAGCCTGCATGCCCATCTTGTCTTAGAAGCCTTTAGGTACCATTGCTGATTATCTAGAGGAATATATTGTATGAGGACGATATTCTTTCAAAACGCAAAATGTGATTTTAAAGGTACTGTCCACATGCATGAAAGGGTTCCAAATCCAGTCACCTCATTATATTACAGCCCCAGAAGTATTTCTCTGTTACTTAAAATGGACCTTTTAGTAATGTGGACAGTAATAAAATAATTTTGAGCATTGTCCTAGGCTGAGATGATGTTATCAGTCTGCTGCAGGCAGGAGGAAACATTTCCTTAGTCTCCTCTCCCCAATGATCAGACTACAACATTGTACCTTTATAACAAGTCATAAGGTGAGAGGCTGCAGGTGAGTAGAAAAAGAAGGGAAATGCATAAATAAGTAAACATGTGCTATGTATGGAGAGAGAGAGAGAGAGAGAGAGAGAGAGAGAATATAATTCTTCAGCTTGGAGATGTGGAGATGGAGTTTTCTCCACTGAATACTGAATGTCAATAGTCCTAGAATGTATTTAGAAATCCCTCCATTATTAGGTCCTATATTCTTATATCCATATCAGCCCTGATCAGCTGGTTCCTCCCTCACCCCAATTTACAAAATCAAATAGGAAAAATTTGATTGAATTGATACTCAGGTCAAATTATTGGAAAACAATTACTATATGGCCACACAAAAGGGCTCTATGTTCCTTATATTTTCTATACAGTTCTTGAAGGATTTGTTCATTTTTTCAGCATGCAGAGGTCCAGCAGGCATTCATTGAGGTTCCTTACATTCGATCCGCTCTCCTCTCGACAGTAAAAAGCACTTCAATTACAATTAATTATCAGACAAAGCTGCTTTATTCTGTGCCCTCTCCAATTCCTGCGCAGTGCCCAGCTCCGGCCGTGACTCGTACGCCTGCTATCTTATTAATCACCTCTTAATATCATAACTCTACATGTACTCTCTATAGATAGGACAGGGAATCGATATCCGGTCGCTGCCAATCCCATTACCACTTCTAATGAAGCTGCACTTCCTGCAGTAAATTATGTCCATCCTCCCGTGGACAGTAATAGGATTGGATTTGTGGGACGTGAACTGTTCTCTATGCTTCCCCTGAAGGAGGCGACTGCGGCGCTCCGATGTTTGGGGGGGGGACAAGAAGTACCAACATACTGTTCCAGTATGCAGGGTTTTCATAGCACCCTGCGTACCAGCCCTCAGCCTGGTCATTGTCAATGTTCAAGTGCACTACGACCAAGCTGATTTACAATTGCAGTAAAAAGTTTTAATTAAAATGCATCTAAAGCCAAAACTTTTTTTTCTGACTTTTGACAGAAAGATTTTTGAAGGGCAAAAACTCCTGTTAGTTTATTGTGTTGCAATTGGTATCCTGTTGGGGAGATTGTCCTTCATTTCCTGTCCCCAAAACCCACTAGGAAATATGCAGAAATGTCATCAAAGAGATAGGAAATCCTCCTACAGTTGTTACCAGATCAGGTTTTCTTCTTCCTGTTCCTGGGACAAGTGTAAAATATTATATTTCCCATTACTTTCCATCCCGATGACAACTAGAGAGGGTAGATGTCCCTCATGGGGTCTAGTCCTTCCAAACCCCATTAAAAACTAAAACAAAGTTTTAAACTTTGTGATGGATACAATTATCATAGGCGACCTGCTCAGTAATTTATTTTTTTTATAAAATAATAAAAGTTTATTGCAGATATTTAAATACAGAAACGCAGAAGTAGGAAAATACAAAAGCCCCGTATGGGCAACCATAAGTAAATGCAGCTCGGCACTATCCACACTTCCTAATATCCCACAGCTGGCACAAAGCTGGTTAAATGAGCTAATAACTCAAGGTTGTAGAGTTGTGACCCAGGGAGGGACGTCAGGAGCTTGAAGAAGGAAAGGAAAGCTAGTAACAAAAAAAAAGTTTGAATACAGTAGAGAAAAAGAGCAGACGCAAGATGAAGTGAAGAGAAGAAAAGAAGAAGGAAGAGGGGGCATCGTGTGGTGGTCTAAGAAACCAATGCTTAGGGTGGAGAGGAGGAGACAGTCAGGTCCAGTGGCCCATTTAAGGTCACTATATGTTGTGACTGCAGGGACTGAAAGGTATCAGAGTCCATGGACAAGGTCCAAGGTGCCCACACATCATTGAATTGCAGCTGACGCCCATGGAAACGTGCTGTCATATGTTCTAATCTCATTATGGAACACAGTTTTGTTAGCCATTCATGTATAGTAGGAGTCATCTGAGAGTCCCAGTGTGGTAGAATAAGAGCACATGCTGCATCTACAAAATAATGGAGCGGGCCCTTTTTGAGAAATGGGGCGGAATTATAGAGAGAAAGGCTATTCTAGGTGAATGACGTGTGGTCCATCTAGTAACATGGTGATAGACATCAAATATATTGGTCCAGAAGGGCGATATACAGTACACTGCCTGGCCAAAAAAAAAGTCACCACCTGGATTTAGCTAAGCAAATAGGTCAGAACCTTCCATTGGATAAGTGGTGTCATCTGGGGTTGCTTCAGGTGGTCAGGTCTAGGTTCAGCAACGTTACATCCCCAAAAAATTAGGTCAGCTCTCTACCTGAATATACTGAATGACCAGGCTTTTCCATCAATGGATTTTCTCCTACCTGATGACACATTGGGCATACTCCAGGATGACTATGCCAGGATTCATCTGGCTCAGATTGTGGAAGAGTGGTTCAGGGAGCATGAGACATCATTGTCACACATGGATTGGCCACCACAGAGTCCAGAACTTAACCCTATTGAGAATCTTTGAGATGTGCTGGAGAAGACTTTGTATAGTGGTCCAACTCTCCCATCATCACTACAAGATCTTGGTGAAAAGTAATGCGACTCTGGACGGAAATAAATGCAGTGACATTGCATAAACTTATCGAAAGGATGCCATGGCGAATGCGTGGCTTTAATGAAAGCTGAAGGCAATCATATGAAATATCAGCGTTTGTGATTTGTTTTGGCCAGGCAGTGTATGTGGACAGCTCCACCAACTATGGAGCATAGACCTGACACAACCGGAGCAACGGCAATGAGCTGACGATCTGTGTGGAAATATTTTATGTAACAAGCTCAGACATTGATACCACCAGATCAGGATCTTGTACCCTTTTCAATAATTTCGCTTTTAATCCAGACATTGCTGTACTGCACACGTCTTCTCCCTCCCTTTCCCTTACATACATAAAGCCAAATGTATTACAAACATAGAATCAATACTAATCCGTTTCCGCTAATCAGATATAAACATGATTTTAAAATGAGAACATGTCAACCCCGAACCCTTACAGGGGTCATGAGGCAGTCAAATTACATCGTCATCACAGAATTTGCGTTCTGCAAGCGGTTCTCCTTTAACAGCCCTCCTATCTGGTAATGGCGCAGGTCGAACGCCACGGATCAGCGCCAGCCCTGATAATAACTAGGTCGCTAGCGGATGAGAAGTGCCAGGACTAATAATATGTCACAGAGTCCCGTAGGGGCCGCCCCCAAATCTCATCAGTCAGCCAGCAGTGAGTTTTACGAGACGCTCTGCACTTTAATTATATTATCTCTGTCATTATTACTGGGCAGCCCAGCTCCGGGTGGGAATAAAAAAAGGTTATATAATGCCTGTTTTTACACGACGGCCTGTCGTGACCCGGGG